ATGAGAATATAGTTCCTAGCCATACCGGCCTAGAAAATCGCAACTTTTCATTTTCCGTCGGTCTTAGTACACGATGTAACTACAGAAGAGTCCAGTTTTAAATAGGAAAAATATAGAAACTCTTTGGTCATTTTTGAGTGAGATGCTAACGGTCTAATCAGATTCAATGATCTATGCTAAGCTAAGCTAAAAGTGCTACCGCCAGACCCGGAGATCGCCTGAATGGATTCGAAAACGGTAAAACTCAACTGTTTAACTTTAGGGGAGTTGGAAAATGAGCCTATTTTCAAAAATAGTAGAGTGTTCCTTTAAAGGTTCACTTATAATGTTAGTGTGATTTTTACATGAAAAAAAATCATAATGTAGAAGTAATTGGCTATTTTGTTTTGTAGCCTCTCTGCAGAAAAGTCTGTTTTTATAGGCGGGGCGCATTCAAGACTCTCAAGTAAACGGCCACTGCTATGATTGGCCAACAGTTTTGCTTCTTAAAGTAACGATGGGACGCTGCTGTGACGTACTCTGAAAACATTTTGGTTAAAAATGTATAAATACTCAGTATATATCAAACAGTCTGAAACAGACAATGCAGCAGTGGTAAAAGCACATTTACTCACACTTATGTGTTGTGACATTACTGTTGGATCCACTCTAGTCAGACTCAGCGCTGCATAATCCTTTACTTGCAGTCTCTCTGAAAAGCCTGCATCATACTGTCTTGTTTAAAAATGAATCCATAGCAAAGTATAGCAAACAAACAGTGTTTCACTGACGTGATCTGGAAAACTATTTTATGAAGTGAACTCACTTAAAAAGTTATTTAGTAAAATTTTGCCAGGAAAAGTTTTATAATTTTTATCACATGTTAATGTAAAAAATCTTGTGTGATATAACTTGTGATTGTTTGTTTGCTGGTTTTTATTGTATTTGTTATACTTGTATTTTTTAAAAATTGTTTTTGCCATGAAAATAGCCTTTGATGCTGACATGGCATTAAATAAATATATACTACTGACGTGATCTGGAGATCTTTGCTAATTTTCCCCGGTGTTTACACCGGACGTGAGCAAGGCGGTGTTTAGCCACACTATTACATCATAAAGTGGCATATTCCAAAACGAGTCGTTTTCTGAGCTTGGCTTCAATAAAAGCTGTTTTAAACTAAAGAGAAAGTTTTGAGTTTTGAAACTTACAGGATGTTTTTATAAAAGGTAAATTTGATTTCTCAGTTCATGACCCCTTTAAATGTAATAGTAATATTTCTTATTTTCATTAATATTTTTATTTTCTTCTATTACTGCGAATAATAATGATAGTAAAAAAAAAATCACTAAATTAAAGTATCAAACTAAGAAATATTACTGTTGGAATAGTAACACTATTGTAACATTCTAATATTAATTTTCTAATGTATTATATTTATTATTAATTATTCATTTTTTTATTTTTTTTTATTAATTAATAATAATTGTTGCTATTATTGAAATTGCAATCACAATTATCAGAAAAATCGCAATTAGATTAATTTCCTCCAAATCATTCAGCCCTACCTACCTAAATGAGTTTCAGCATATTTGTGCAATACTGCCTATTTGGATTTTATTACAACCCATGTATGATAAACATAAGATGAGTGTGAAGAGATGCAAACTTCAGCTACATCACAGTGTTTGCATTATTACATAAATGTAGGTTTTGCAAAAATGTTGTTTTAGGCCCAGTCGTCTTTCTTGCCATAAGATGTGAAAACCTATTAAACATGATAAACCTACTCTGCTATTTTATTCATATAACACAAACCCAGTTGAGTATAATTTATTAATACAGGCCGCCAGAATTAGCTCTCGTTTTAGTGACATCAGCCTTCACAATCGAACAGCCACTACTGCAAAAGAGTCCGACCGTGTGATCATGTGACGTAGGGACATTTGCGATGAATAAATAATCTGCTGTGTTTAACATGGGGGGCCATTATCTTACTCTCTTTGCTTCTGTTTATTCCCTCCTGAAATTTTAGAAACAAATACCACACACGCTGCCAGGGTTTGAGGCAGTCTGTCTGGTGTTTGGAATTTTAATTTTCATACAACAGAAACTTCACTGTAAACATGTAGAACTGTTATTGCTATGTTGCTATTATACTGTCAGGTCTATATACTTAAAGTCTCAATTAATTTGTCTTTTATCCCAGGGGAGCGTTTTCAGTGGTGCGACGATGTGTGAAGTTGAGCACGGGCCAAGAATACGCCGCCAAAATCATCAACACCAAAAAACTCTCCGCGAGAGGTTAGTCAGTTCCTGAAAATGTTCTGAAACGTTCAATGTTTTTCTTTTTCGTTACATTATAATGGATGGGTTTTAATTCTAGGAACAATTTTACAACTAATATACTACATGGTAAAACATGGTCATTTAAAGTTGCAATGTTACCGAAGTAATGAAAGTTAATTTCTTCTGTATTGTGACATACTTCGGAGTGAAATGGATTCTTGAAAAAGAAAACATTTATTAAGGGAACTTGGCTCTATCCATCGGTTATGACATTTTGATTAAAAAGTACAAGGTCAAAACAATCTTGAAAATATGAAACGTGCATGAATGAATTGTTCACAGTAAAGCCTGTGTTATACTTTCCGCATGAGCAATACGGACGCGTACACAGACAGCGCGGACGCAGACTACTTGTATTTATACTTCCGAAAGTATACGCTGATGGTCCGCTCCGCGGACGTGTTCCATACATGCGTAGTAGATCGGCTTTGACAAAAAACAAACATGTGAACAAAGAATTGCCCAGAGTTATTGCACATCTGGCTGTCTTTATATTGTTTTATCGACGGATTGTACAGGTTCGAGTGGCAACGGGCTTCTTCACACAGCCTGCGCATGCGCAGTAGCCTACTGACAAAAAATGGGAGGCACGCGGATGTCCGCGCGGAGCCTCCGCGCACACTCTCCGATGACGATTTTTACGTCACGCATACCATAGCGGACCCTAGCGGACTCGCGGACGCGGAAAGTATAACACAGGCTTAAGATCTTTAAGATGCATTTAGAAAATGGATGATGAATTTCCAGTTCATTCCAACTTCACTATGTGCAGTGATGGTAGATGGTAATAGTATGGTACTGAAAAATGACCATTTTCATGTATTGTAGTATTTACATCAAAGGATACTATGGTACCATTTGGTACCATGGTAGTACTGATTTGTAAATGCTCAGAAATTCAGTTACAGAACATTCAAAGAACACTTAAAGTTCTACAACATGCTGATAACTATATTTAAATCTGCTTCCATGGTTACTGTCAGTGCCAAAGGCAGATCCAAACACCATGGCAATGAGACCGAAACTACACCAATGAAATGGCAGAAAGAGATTTTCAGTTTTTACGCCATCCCGCTATTGAGGGGTGTAAATCTTTTTATGCCCTTTTGTCCTCCCTCCTGAAACTTGAAGCCAGCAATTGCTTTGCCAAAGTGTCATCCTCATCATGTCCCTTTAGCTGTGTGGTCATTGTGGTGAGAATGTGTAATGTGGAGAACAAGCACTTGACATGTACTCGATTCCACAGGCACTGAAAAACATTTTAAAATAGGCCCAACAACCCTCTAAATACAGCTTGTGTGGAGAGACACATTGCTTTCTGATTGCGTGGTCAGAGGAAATCAAATTAAGGTTGGGAATGTAGATTAGTAAGAATAGTCTTTTAAGTGTTTACTTTTTTGATGCAGACAAGACTGGTCGTTATAAAACCTGGCAAGATTATGTCCAGGTCATATTTTCGTTTTTGTGTGTGTGTGTTTTTTGTTTTTTTGCATTGTGACATGATTTCATATATACACTACCATCTAAAGGGGTCAATATGATTATTTTAAATGCTTTTGAATTCTCTCATGCTCACCAAGGCTGATGTCACTTGATCAAAAATACAGTAAAAACAGTAATATTTTGAAATATTATTACAATTTAAAACAACTGTTTTCTATTTTAATATATTTAAAAATGTAAATAATTCCTGTGATGGCAAAGCTGAATTTTCAGCATCATTACTCCTCTCTTCAGTGTCACATGATCCTTCAGGAAATCATTCTAATATGCTGATTTGGTGTTAAAAAACATTTATTATTTTCAGTGTCAACACATTCTTGACAGGTTTCATGAGCTTCACCCTAGCCTTTTTCTTTTTTTGTAGCTTTGTGTTATTGTACCATTTTGTCACAAAAAGCAAGTATAGGATGATAAATGTTTACAGTGTTCATTTTGACATTTATTTGACAATATAGCACTGCGGTGGGTCGTGTAGATTAGGAGTGACTGTCTTTAGGCTGAGAGTTACTCTGAGAAGAGAGAAACAATATGATCTGTCAAGAGAAGGAGGGTGGGCATGAGAGAGGGAATGTGACCTAGATATACAGAAAGGGAATGTGTGGGAGAGAGAGAGAGAGAGAGAGAGATAAGGAATCATCATGAATGACTGTTTGAGAGAAAGACATAAAGAGAGGTCTGACAGTGAAAACACCTTTGGCACTTGGCAGCTTTGTGTATGTGTGTGTGTGTGTGAAAGAGAAGCAGAGAACAAGCATAGTTACATGCCTGGAGCCCATCATCTGACCCAGAGAGACGGACATGACCCTGGAAAAACGAGCAAATAAGTTCATGAGATGTGATTTGTAGTAAGACCCATTAGCGATGAGTCACAGTAATAGTCTAGTTGTCCAACCATCGATTAGTCTACTGGTTTATCTTGCACCAATTATTTTTAGTTTTTATATTTTAAGCATGTTGCAGTTTAGTTGTATGGTTTGTTGTGTACTTTGCACTGTACAATCATCTCAAAAATAGTTGGGTATTTAAATTCTTTCCCTTGAAAACATCACTGCTATATCTTTATGCATTCAGATGGGTGTTTTGATCACACAGTTATTTTGCCACTAGCATTGTGTTATAAAAATGCTGTCATTTAAAAACACATCTGGTGCGCTCTGTCCAGATGTTTTTGAATACAGGAATGCATCTTATGTAGATTTGAGAAGTGCATCCAATCAAGCTTCTTTAAAGTTGTGATGTAACAGAAGTCGCGACAGATCTTTTCTTCCGTATTTTGAAGTGCAAAACTGAAAAAATAGGCAATGACTTGGTTCAATCCACCAGTTCTTGACTGAATGGAGGCAGATCGGCTGAAGTGGATTGTAAGAATGGGCGGGGTTTAAGCGGACTAAATCATTAGATGAATAATTCACAGTAAGATCAATAACACGCATTTAGAAATTAGGGTGAATTTCCATTTCATGCCAACTTAAAGATCGTTTAGTTGACTAGATGTTGTTCATTTTGAAAATATCTAGTTTTTCCATGATCATAAACTGCCAAGCCAAATTTTTTAACTAGCAAGGCATGGTTTTCACCTTGAAGTTGATATTTTGTCTCAGAAATGAAGTGTGTAGTGGTTTAAGGGTATTATGTAAATGTGGTATATAGGAAGACAGTTTTAGTTAGCATGCTTCTGCGGGGAACTCATTAGCTCGAGCGGAGCTCCATAGCTGGGTTGACAGTGTTTGGTGTTGGCGTTCTAGTGTTGCGACAGCTTCAGGAGTATGTGTACAACTCGGAGAATGCCCAGCAGCTGAGCTTAAGGTCAACGCACATCAACGTCAGCGACAGACAAAGGGGCGGGATTCCAGAGCCGGCCAATAGCCAATCAAGAAGCCTGTCTCTGTAATAGGGGTTAGTAGGAGTAAGACGAGGCAGTGCCAAGCCATTAAATCTTAAAATATGGCATGGCTTAGAATAGGGACAATAAACTATTGAACAATAGGTAAAGGTGGAACATGATTAAATGAAGAAAAACAAAAAACAAAACCTTTTGAACACAGGCGAATTGGCTCTTCATATGCAACTCCCTATGTCACTGTGTGACATAGTGACCTTGAGTGTCAGTTAGAATAAACATTGTTTAACAGAGGTCAGATGTAGGGCTGCACGATTATGACAAAAATCATAATGGTCGATTATTCCTTTGAAATTGTAATTGCGATTATTAATTACGATTAAATGAATGATGTTTACACCTTTGTTTGAAGAAACTGCATGCCATATTTTTATATGAAAATAAACAAGCTGAAAACACTTAACTGAAAAAACTTTTATTGCTTTTCTATAGTATTAAGCCGCAAATGTCAACTATACATTGGATTGGTTTCTTCTTTAAATAAAAAGGTAAAAATATGCATGGTATTATAATGTTATACAAAAACTAAAATTAAAACAATGGAAAAACCCTTAAGATAACATGTAATGTTATTAAAAAAACAAAAAAAACAAGTGTCATTTTAAAGATAGCACAGGCACACTTTCCAATCGAAACAGTTAGCAAAAAGAAGTGTATAGATAAAAGAATAGCTACTATATGTTTGTGGTTGTCAAACAGTCAAGACGGGCAGGAAACAGCTGAAACGTCATCAGAAAAAATGTTCAGTAAAGTGAAATTAATTAATCTGGGAAAAGTCATTTGTTTTCCACTTGGTTTGATATTTTATCTCTAATGCAGTGACATTTATACATTTTTAAGTGTGACTTAAAAGGTCATTTTTTGGGCGAACATATATTCATATATCCAACCTAGCTTGTCTTGCCTTCAGCTGTGTCTGTCATTAATGAAAGCTGATTTTTAATTGTGTGTGTTGCTGTTGGATTTAGTTTTTCCTGATACGTCTTGAGGTGTTATTTGTGTTGCTATCAGTTTGCTGAAAAATTAGACGCCCTTCTAGAGCATGAATCATAAGCTTAAGACACACGTTTTGTATCGCCCTCATCCATCTTGGGCTTGATGGAGTTTAAGTGCCATCTCTCTTGATTTTCTCTCTTGATTTTCAAGAAGGGAGCATTTATTCCACTCTTATAGTAACACATCATCATTTGCATCATCGTTATTATTGTAATTAACAGCCAAGTCAGTGCATTGTCTGTCCAGATGGGCTAGTTGAGTGCTTTTCAACAACCATGACCTATATTGAGAGGTTTGTTGATATAGATATAGATATAGATATATGAGACATAGATGTGGACAAATGTAGGGCTGAGATCAGGCCTGAGATGACTGATCAGAAGAAATTTAGATTATATATTAGTAGGTAGGGCTGGGCGATATGGCCAAAAAATTATCACGATAATGTTTTTCATATCAGTCGATATCGATAATTATCACAATAAATATCAAATTTTTATTTCTTTCAAGTTTAAAGGCAGATTTTTGCTCCAATGTGAAAGTTGTAAAAACCAGA